CTTCCTTCCTTCCTTCCTTCCTTCCTTCCTTCCTTCCTTCCTTTTTCCTTCCTTCCTTCCTTCCTTCCTTCCTTCCTTCCTTCCTTCCTTCCTTCCTTCCTTCCTTCCTTCCTTCCTTCCTTCCTTCCTTCCTGGCTAACTTTGTATCCCCATGCCCATGGAACAAGGGATTGAATAAAATGAGGAAATCGACAATGAGGAGAGAAATGGAGAGTTTCCTTTCTGACCACTGAGCCAAGAGGACCCGGGATCTGGGTCTGGCAAGCATTTAAAGCCGAGTGTCAATGTCAGGTGCCTTTCCTCAGGTTCCTGAGTCAGTCATCTCAGCCGTCCTCCAGGAAGCGCGGCCACCACAGCCCAAGTGCTGCCATTAACTTTGTTATCTACTGAGACTAGTTCAGCTGCTGGGCAGACCTTAAGGAGGGACCTACATCAGTCAAAAGTGAGTTGGCTATACATCTTCCCAGGAAAACTCAAATGATCCCCAGAGGCAGCAGCTAAGTGCCACCCAACCGCCTCTGCCAGGGCAATACCACAATGGGCTCACTAGCTGTCTCTTTGCCTTTTCTTTATCAGAAACCAAGACACTGCTTCCGCTCTCACTCCTGGACTTCAAGAGACCTGACTAAACTCTCCTAGCAGCACCAACAGGGAAATACCCCTCCCTCCACACACAGAAATTTCTAGCGTGTTCTCAGCTCATCTCAAATCTTCCCATACTCTTCAGACCTCAGAAGCCTTTTATTTTAGACATGTAGGTCTTATCTGATTCCTTTCTTGGGAATGGGAAATTTCTCTAGAGTGACCTAGCTTATAAATCATGTGACCATCTGATAGCCACTGTGGTAAGGGTTTGAATTTTAGCTATTTTCCATCTTGTAGTATCAGTTTCTCACAATTCCAGCTTACCTACAGGAAAATATGTGAAAACTGTATGCCTATCGGATACTGTATTTTATTTTATGGTCATTCCACAAATGTTTTGTTGATCTTCGGCTGGAGCATTCCTGCTCTTAGGCAGAGTCCCAAATGACTGCCATGATGCTCTCTCTCTCTCTCTCTCTCTCTCTCATTCTTAATAACAGCTCCTTCTGCTTGTGGTTCAGGCCTTTCTTCTCAGCACTATTCAGACTTACCACCTGTCAAAACTTGAATGCCCGCTTTCCCACAGAGTGATCTCAGGTTGTTTGGACTCCTATGGCTGCATCACTCGCCACCACCATAGAGCAATTAGAGTCAAAGCCTGCGATTTATACCGCCTCATCGTGTTGCCTTGTGTTGCTGTGTCTCAGCAACTATTTCTGTCTCCTCAAGGACAGCTGTATACTGTGCCTATTGCTGATCTCCCTTGCCACTGAATGCAACGATTAATGCATTAAAAGGTCCTTAATAAGTATATTCCATTTTCCACAGATTAAATACTAACATAGATTAAACAGTTGACCTATGTAGGATGAATTCCTCACTGTTGTATTATGAGAACAATTGCATAGCAAGTTCTTATTTTTGTCACATCAATTATAAAATTAAAAAATAACTATAGGACAAAGCGATAGAGAAAACATAAGAGCATGGTAGAAGCCATAACACCGCAAAGGGTGCTACTAGGTGTGTGGGGGGGATGTCTCCAA